TTTCAACAATCGATCGAGATTTTTCACGATTGATCGAAAAGCTTGTAGAATAATGCCTTAGGAACAAAAAATTTTGACGTAATTCCGATCGATCGATATTATTTTCAATCAATTGAGATCATTTTCGATCGATTGGAATAAACGTCGATCGATCGAGAAAAAAATTTTGGAAATTTTTTTTTTAAAATGCCTAACATGCATGACATCTTCAATGAAGCTCAATGGAACATATCTAGATGCCGCAAGAAGTGAAAAATATTCCTCTCCCATTTCATAGAATTCGGGAGAGGAATAAAGTTGAAAACTCTACAAATGCTAGTATTTAACGTCTCTAGTAAGACGTCGGGTCAACTCACTAATCAAAAGAATCAAAAATTGGATATGAAACATCCTTATTGATCATTTTTCCATTTTCTCATTTGATGCCTCACTTGCGACAATGAAATCATCTTTCAGAAGAATGACTTGAAAAGAAATTATGAAAGACACAATTTGTTTCTTTTCATCCACGGCCTTGAAAATAAAGTCAATAATGAGTGACCTTGCACTTGGCAAGGAAAAGTCTTTCAAAGACTCAATTGGATTAATATGAATTGCACTCTCTTCATCCATTTTCTCTTCCTCAATAATCACTATCTCCTCACTTAACAAGTTAGCTAAGGAGTCCATAAGAGAGTTCACTTCATTTTTGGAACTTTCAAGGTCAAAACCACAATTTTTATACATTTTAAAAAGGCATGTCTCAAGAGGGTCTTTGGGGATAATAGAAGGAAGACTTTCTTCAACAAGTTCCTCCTCCTCCTCTTCTACCTCTATAGTGGTCACCGTCTCCTCACTCTCTAAAATAGCAATGTCCGGGATAAAATCATTATCAAAACAAGGAAAGTCTTTATTAATCCTGACAAGAAAAAGTACTTGCAATTTGATTAACTTGAGCTTCAAGCTTGACTAGTCCTATATAGAGTAAGCCTGAGTGTGTTGAGTTGGATAATGAGCTAGAGAGTATTGTTGCGGAGCAGACAGATAAGGGTTCTTGGCCAGAACTCATAGAGCATAGTTCACCACGGATTCCAACTCCTAAGCCTACACCCAAAAGGTCCACGCGTCCTCATGTACCGAATCGACGGTATATGGATTATATGTTGCTCACAGATAATGGTGAGTATGAATTCCATCATCAAGTATGTTAGGTTGAAGATGCTAGTAAGTGGGAGATTGCAATGGAAGATGAAATGAAATCCCTTATCTCCAACAAAACATGGGAACTAGCCAAGTTGCCCATGGGTAAGAAAGCTCTTCATAACAAATGGATGTACAAGGTAAAAGAGGAACACAATGGTTCCTAGAGATACAAGGTGAGACTAGTGGTCAAAGGCTTTGAGCAGAAGCAAGACATTGACTACTTATACATTTTTTTCTCTGATTGTGAAACCGAGTACCATTTGTTCAGTTCTTAGCATTGTTTCAACTGAGGGGTTGCACCTTGAGCAGTTAGATGTCAAAACTATTTTCCTCCATAGTGACCTAAAGGATGAGATTTACATGCAACAATCGGAGGGTTTCTCAATCAAAGGGAAAGAGAAACTAGTGTGCAAGTTGAAGAAAAGTTTGTATGGTTTAAAGCAAGCCCCGAGGTAGGGGTACAAGAAGTTTGATGGTTTTATGAAGCGACATGGCTACAACAAGTGCAACGCTGACCATTGCTGCTACTTCAAGATGTTCAAGTCAAGTTTCATTATCCTTTTACTTTATGTTGATGACATGTTAGTGGCAGGTTCTAAGTTTAAAGAAATCAGCAAATTAAAGAAGCAGTTGTCTAATGAATTCGAGATGAAAGATTTTGGTGCAGTAAAGCAAATTCTTAGGATGAGGATTAGCAGAGACAAGCAGAAAAGTACTTTGCAGTTGTCTTAGGCTGAGTACGTTGAACGGGTTTTGAAGAGGTTCAACATGAATAATACTAAAGTGGTGAGTACTCTCTTAGCTAGTCATGTCCGATTATCTTATGATTAGTGTCCGAAGACAGAAGATGAGAAAAACTTCATGACTAAAATTCCATATGCCTCAGCCATTTGAAGTTTAATGTACGCCATAGTGTGTACAAGACCAGACATTGCATATGTAATAGGAGCAGTAAACAGGTTCATTAAGAATCCGGGCAAGCTACATTGGGAAGCAGTGAAATAGATATTGAGATATCTAAGGGGAACCATAGACAGATGTTTACGTTTCAAAAGGGGCGAGGTGAAGTTACATGGTTATGTAGATTCAGATTTTGCTGGTGAGGTGGACCATAGAAGAAGTGCTACCAGGTATGTGTTCACGGTGGGTACAATTGCAGTTAGTTGGATTTCACAAATACAGAAGATTGTAGCATTATCTACTATAGAGGTAGAGTATGTGGCGATGACAGAGGCCAGCAAGGAAATGATTTAGTTACAAAGTTTGTTGACAGAGTTGGGATTCGAACAAGTGAAGAATGTTTTGCACAGTGATAGTCAAATTGTGATACATCTGGCAAAGAATTAAGCATTTCATTCAAGGACCAAGCATATATATAGGACTTTGGTATCACTTCATCAGATCTTTGTTAGAAGATGAGGTGTTGACACTTGAGAAAATACTTGGTATCAAGAATCTAGCTGACATGTTGACCAAGACAGTGACCATGGAAAAACTAAAGCTGTGCCCAGTTTCAGTCGGTTTTCTAACTTGAAGATAGAAATAATCGCACCGACATACATGGGACATGCATGAGAAAAAGATGGAATGGGTTTACAAGTACTCCAGCCTCCAAGTGGGAGATTGTTGTGGTTTTGTGAAGTCTGTTATTTGGTAACTTCAGTTTCCTGATATGTTTTTGATTCCTTATTGGTTTTGGACTCTACAAAATGCAAGTTCTTGTAGGACAACTTTGAGACTCTCTATATATGAACTCTAATCAGAATTTAAGGTGTGGAAAAAAGTGAGAAGAAAAAAGAGAGGATCATCATACATATTGTATGATTGATTTTTTTTTTTTAATTCTTCGTGATTATTGTGTTTATTTCTCGAACAACGTTGTTTATTTTGCGTTTTCGCCACAACAACTAGTATTAGAGGATCCGGTTGATTGTGCAGAGCAACTCCAACAATATTTAACAACTAGTTCTTGGTATAGTGTAGTCAGTGTGAGCCCGAGTTAGAATTTGTAACTTTGATTTGACACAGTAGATGGGCTTCCTGGGGGTTTTCACGTAAAAAAAACTGGTGTCTGGTATGTTCTTTTCAATTGGTAAATTTTAATTTTTAGTTATTGCAGGTAATTAATCAATTACAAAATCAATCAAAAAGACATATTCACCCCTCTAGGTCATACAACATTGTCAGTAATTCACGTATTGCAATTAGCTTTTAAAAAAAACAAAAAAAAACAAAAAAAAATCAAATAGTGTGTGATTCCCGGGCATTGGTATTTCTCTCCTAAGCTGGGATGCTATATAACCTTGTATACAATCACGGTCCAAATTCCAAAAGCCATTAAACAACTTAACAAAACACCAACTATTTGTTACTCCGTATTTGATAATTAAAGCAAATGACCTTCCTTAAGCAAGAACGATCGAGTGCTAGCTTTGACCCAAAAGAGGCAATGTCAAGTGTGCTGGCATTTCGGAAAGTGCAAAAAAAAGTAGTTGATTTTTTGTTGTTCCGTACCAAATGAGAATCCCATTGAATCCCTCAAAATCTTTTACTAGTTCTTTTTAGAGAGAGAAAAAAGAAAAAAAGAAAAAAAGTGCAAAAGTCAAGTCATGCAAACTTAAGGTTAGCCATCAAACGGTTGTGTAGCAAATCTGAATTTAATTTCATCCCTGTATATATACCTACCTTGATATATAGATATAGTTTATAGTTGATACATCATATATTAATATCTATATAGAGAGAGAGAGACATTGCGGGAGGCCCCTGACGCGGTTTTAGAGCTGCAAGACAGAGAAGCATTAGCTGTTGTTCGCAAAGGCAAATGTTACTGTTTTATTGCGCGTGTTAAGTATTCTTAATTTCTTTTTTTTTTTCTTTTTTTTTGTGTGTGTTTTTAACTCACATGATACAACCAAAGCTATATTTTCTCTATTCTCACCTGCAAATCCAGGAAGCTGCCTCTAATAGAATCCTATGTTTCTCTCCTACTAAAAACACATTATTGTATGAATAGAATATATAGTACAAAGATATGATTACCCAAAATAAATTTCCATATAAGAAATGTTACAATACATTTTTTAACAAAAACCCATGTGGCCAAAAGTCTCAATTGGCCCCTATTAATATTATTTTATTTCAGAGAAGTCACTTTCATTTGTGACCAGGAGTGACTTGTTAAGCAAGTCAAAAAACTCTAGAACAAGCATTTAGTTTATTGATCAGACTTCAGAGAGCTTTCCTGGCTGGTCAGTGACTTCTTTCATGCATATGGTTTCCAGACCATAGTCACTGCCTTTCCTCGATGGCCACTTCGGAAAAAATCACCCCATTGAGCTGTTCTAGGCCATATATTAATTAATTAATTAACTTTCTAGTAGAAAAGGTCATGTATGCATTTATGGTTATCTACGAGACTATTAAATTTCTCTCTTTTCTTTTGTTCCTTCTTTTATTATCATTCAAAATTGTTTCAAGTTGAATAAATAGCATTCATTGAGGTAAACTTAGAATCAGTCAATTATTTGTAATACTACGTTAAAAAAAAATAATAATAAATAAAAAATTATCGTACAATTAAAAATGAAGGGCAAAATAGTCATTTTGGAAAAGCAAGGATGTTTAAACATATTCTGTCACATTTAAAAGTTGTAAATTATCTGTCATCCATTTTATGTGACATGTAGAACCTTTACTTACTGTGTGTCCTTGACTAGGGAGATGTGCTGAACCCCATCTCTATATATATCAATCTCATCTCCTTCACAATCACTTCCCACCTCATTCCTTCTTCACATACAAGAGAAGAAGAAACAAATTCAAGACAAAACACACACACACAGAGACAGAGAGAGAGAGACTCTATCACTAGAGACTAGCTAGCTAGCTAGCTATCAAATTAAGCAATGGTGAAGATCAGTGCTGATCAAAACAAGATCCAATCTGAGCCATCCAAAGCAATGCCATCACCATCATCATCAACATCATCATCATCAAAGAAGAAGTACAAGGGAGTGAGGATGAGAAGTTGGGGGTCATGGGTGTCTGAGATAAGAGCACCAAACCAAAAAACAAGAATATGGTTGGGCTCTTACTCAACCCCTGAGGCAGCTGCTAGAGCCTATGATGCTGCACTCTTGTGCCTTAAAGGCTCCTCAGCCAATCTCAACTTCCCTATCACCTCCTCCTCACACCACCTTGATGATCCTCACCCTCATCATCACACCATCATGTCACCTAAGTCCATCCAAAAGGTGGCTGCAGCTGCAGCCAATAATGTCACCAACCCACCATCACCACCTCCTCCCTCTTCCTCCTCCTCAATATCCTCGCCGTCGTCATCATTCTCATCGTCTGATCACACCGAGGATGATGCCTCATTGGTGCCATCTTTTGGGGCCTACACTGTGCCTTATGGAGCCGATGAGTTGCCGATGCCTATGATCACACCATGGTACAACTTTGATTCGCCAAAATACACTGATATGATCAATGGGGCATTTTTCGATCCGGCAATGATCGAAGATTTCTATGAAGAAGGTGATATTAGGCTGTGGAGCTTCTGCTGATGGATTCAAATTATCCATTAATTTCCCCCTTTTTTTTTTTTTTTCTTCTTCTTGTTTTTATTCATCGGGTGGTCTTTGGTTTATTGCTTGAAGACACTACTGACAGTGACAAAATTTAATTTTATATATATATATATATATATATATATATATATATATATGTGAGTTAGCAGAAGGAATTCACATAGAGAGAGACATTTTTTTGGACTCTTTTATATTATCAGGTAGGTGAATTTCTATATATTCAAAGTATGTATAATTTCTGCAAAGTGTGTCACATGCAATGTCATATTCATGCCTTTCAATGTAATAAGAAGGGGGGAAATTCCAATTCCTTCAATGTCCCTTGGTTTATATTCTACGGTGTCCTTCAAATTAATTATGTATAATCTCTTGCTTGCTTTTCCTTTTCTCTATTTTCCTCCTCTTTTCACATTATTGTTTTTTTTTTTTTGGGGGGGTTAATTGATGCCTTTCCAAATATTCAATGGAAGCAATCTAATTAAACATATTTATTTAGCATGAAAGAAATACAACTCACTCTCCTAATTGGTAATCCATTAATTTAAATTCATAAGAGTTATAATTTGGTGGTATCTTTTCAATTTTTTAAAGTTATAAGTGAAGGTTTAAGTTCTTGTAAACATAAGTGGATGCAATGGATGTGTGAATTTTTTCTGAAGAAATTTTTCTATATTTTTTTTTTTGGTAATTTGTTAACTTACAAACAGGGGGCATGATATATAGATAGTTAATATGTAGATTTGGTTATTATTGATGACAAGGTTGAATCAATTAGTTATCCCTCATTTTACAGTTCAAATATGATTCAATGATCATAAACTACTTCAACAGCATAAAAGGAGAGGATGGTGACTTCACTTTTTTAATAATTAAGCAAACCTACCAAATTAAACACATTGACTCTTTGTAATTATGAAATATATTACTCGATGACTCTATCCAACTGTCCCCTTCATAATAATCACAAGTTATCATGTGATGAAAAATTATTTGTGTTTAATAGTGTCACTCAAAAAAATTTCTTAATTCTATCCAAATTAAGACACGTCCAATGATCATTTTTGAAAGTTTGTACTCCTAATTGCTATGCTACTCAACTATTTACGGTTTTTTTTTTTTTTTTTTTTTTTTTTTTAAATCCGTTTTAAATACATCATGGTATAGGGACAAGTGGGAACCGCCTTGATACAACGATAAGATTATTCTATTGTAATTAAGCACTGGGATTAGAGGTGGAGCCCCCCACCACCCCCCAAAAAAAAAAAAACCTATTAATTTCTAAAATTCTCTCTGTACCGCCCTTTTTCCTCTTTTAATTCCTTTAATTTTGTTTTAAAAAAGTTAAATTTGCCTTCTTCGATAGTCTAGTGGGATAGTGCCTCTGGTGAATTTTGGAGTGTCTGATTTCGGCTCTTTGCATCTACTAATCTAACTTCTAATATTTTTTGCCTTGTTAAAAAAAAAAACAAACAAACAAACAAACTGTGCTCTAGTTTTTATTCTTCTTTTCTATTTTTTTTTTTTTCTTTTACTTCTTAAAATTATTCTTCTTTTTTGGGACAATGTGCTTCCTGAATTGAAATTATGGCTTTGCCCTTGACTGGGATAACCCTTTATAGTGTAGATACAAGTGTTCAAATTTGATGTAGAATTGATTGTCGAAACTTATATGACCCATTTGGACTGTCAAGGGCCAAACAAGCATGCCGAAGAGTTCATTTTTTACCCACAAGGATAATTTTTAGACTAGAAAAGACCCAACGAACTTGTTGACTGTTTCGATATTTTTGTTTGAGGCCTAAACAGAAACGGAATGATCTCAATTTTTGTATTTAGTAGTTTTATTTATTTATTATTATTAGATTTTTTATTCTATTTTTTCAGAATTTTTAGAAAAAATTTATTTTTAAGTTTATTTTTAATGTTAGTTTTTATACTTATTTATGATTTAAGTTTTATTTTTAATTATTTTAAATACATGTGATGCAGAAAGCAAAATTATCTATTCAATTATTAATACAACTTCAGATTTTTACTGAAATTGTTTATCTTTAAACTTTCATAACTTTCGCCAACATCAAAATCCCATCACATATTGCTTTGCATAAAAAAGAACTAAAATAAAAAAGCACAAAATAAAATAGAGATGGATTTGATAATCAAATACCACACAAACGCACTCTCTCCCCACTTTTCCTTTGTTTCCTTTTTTATTCAAAATTTTTTATTTTTTTTTACTAATTAGGAATTTAGGAGGTACTGGAAGCTCCCTAAGCACAGTGAGGTATTATTTGAACGACTACTTGATTCCGAATTCTCCACATGAACTGTCCTGTCATCTTGTTCAATGCGTAAGGAGTACATGGTTTCCATGCCCTGTTGTTCCTTCACATTGTATGTAGTCCTTTCAAGGCCAATTCTGTGGGTCATGTTACCAACTCTGGCATTAATACTAGTGTTATATAACAAGGCCCACTTTGAATATATGGACCTTAAACGTGCTTTACTCAGATTGATGGCCTACATTGGATTTTTTTGTCCCTGTCCATATGTACTGTGTAATGATGCATGGACTTGAGACCTGCATGTAAATTGCAGATGCTACAAGACGTGACTACTATATTTGTAGAGTTCTCTATATTAATAACTTGTTCTTGTTTATATTCTATGCAACAATTATCTTATGGAATCAATCAATTATATGGCCTAAAATGTATTAGTGTTCTTGGGTAGCATGACAACTCTTTGCACCATGCATGCTATTTTTTTTTTTTTTTGGTTACATAAAGCAAATAATTGCATTAATAGATCTACACTTGTCCAGGGCGGAGTCAATTAAGGCCTAGAGGGGCAGGTGCCCCCCCTCACTTTGCTCCAACCTACTATATATATATATGCATATTTTTGGTATATATATATACTTATATGGTAATTTTAAATAGTGTCCCCTCAAATTTTCAAAAATTCTTTTAATTTCCTTTTGAAAAAAAAAAAAAATTACTTACATCCCTTCTTCAAATATACAATATATTTTTCCTTTTCTAATTTTTGTTTCTTTTTTCAAAAAATTTCTTTGTATTTTTCTTTTTTTTTTAAACTTATTTATTTTTTCGATGACATTTGTGATTGTATCTAATTAAAATATCATTAATTAATATTTTGATTCTTATATTTGTAACTATATTTTTTTTTACGGTATTTATTTAGTATATTATTTTACAACTATTTTTTTCTTATTTGCCTTTTTCATTAAAAAAAATTATATTGTCATATTTATTAAAAAAATAAAAATAAAATTAACAAGTGCATTTGCCCCCTCTGAAATAAAATCCTAGCTCCGCCCCTACACTTGTCAACTTAAATTCATGATTATGATCAAATACTGATATAACTTAAATTTTTAGGATTCATAGATATCACGGATGTTGTGGGAGCAGCGTGTGACCTTTCTTCTTATCAGTTGCGACCAGAAGTAAAATCGATGAGTCCGGAGTCAAAGGCAGGCGAAGCTAGCTTGATTTCATTCTTAATAGTCCTTGCACGCTCGATGGGATGGCAAAATACCTCACTCCGTCGGGTATTCGCCCCACCCTACCCCTTTTAGAATGGTTATGGTGGTAGTTAAATGGTTTTAGGGCAGTGATGGGTTAGAATTAAAAACTTGCATGGTTATGAGGTGGGGATAGGGAAAGGTCACCCTGTCCCGCAGGGGTGACTCAATATAATTTGAGACTTTAGGCAAAAAAAAATAATTAATAAAGTGATCTTTTAATAGAATTTACCCGGCCATGTGTTTGTTAGTAATATGGTCATTAGTTGTTTTATGAATTTTAAACACAGCGTTAAGGTTTTTCAATCTTTAATTCCCTAATTGGCTTGCGTTATACTTTGAATTAAATAACTTGCAAAAACAAAACAATCTATTTAAATCTTTTGAATACACGGGGCAACATTATATGTAGCGAAAAAATGCCTAGAGTTTTCATCTTTGGAAAAATTTCAAGAATAAGGAGAAGAAAGAGAGACAAAAAATGTGAGACAAGGATATAAATCTTTTGGGGCTCATTATTAGATCTCTCTCTATATGTTTTTTTGTGACAGATTAAATCTCTCTATTGGTTGATGCCTAATAATAGAAGAAAATGCAAGTGTTGTATTGTACGAGTGATTAAAAAAAAGGAGGTGAGAAATGATAGAATCTTATAAACCCACTATTAAATTCATCTCTTGAGGTTTAATAATATAAGGAATTAAGATTTTTACTGAGGTTATAATATATAACAAGATAAAAAAATTTGGTTCCAAAAAAAAGTAAGTGAGAAGAGGTATAAATCTTTTAGCATACTAATAAATCTCTATATTCAGTGAGGTTTAATAATACAAGAAAATAAATTTTGTAGAGAGATTATAATATATAAGGTACTAAAAAATAAAAAAAATTGGAACCTTCCTATTGGGTGGGGCCTTAGGCGACCTAGGTCGCCTAAGGCTCCAGCCATCCCGCCTCGCTACACCACGCCTAGTTTATAGTGATAAATTACAATTTTGCCTTTAAACTTTATTTTATATTTAATAATATAAGGTATATCTTAAGCAAATCTTAGTTTATTCTATTCCAATCACTAAATATTTTTTTTTTATATTATTCTTATTTGAGAACTCTATGTAAACAATTATTTTAGTCTTGAGTTTCAGTTGAGAAGTTGAATCTTATTTTTATCCGTATAAAATAAATTTTTAATTATTTTTTCTCATAATTAAAAATTTATTTTATTATTTACTTTTGTTAGATTCATATTATAACTACGAAAATATTATATAAAAACCGTCCGTCCCTCCCGTTCCTGTTCCGTCTCACCTGCCCGATTTAATGTTAGGAATGAAAGTAGTTATTCTAAATGGGGATGGGATGGCATTCCCATCCCTAACCGTCATCCCATTGCTATAACACCATGTAATCACAAGCGCACTCCCGGTCCTGGAGCACATTTACAGCCAAACATTGATAAATATTCATAGAACCTCACAAATTTGGGTCACCAAACATCTTTTCTTTTCAAAATTCCTTCTAATAATTTCCTTTAAAAAATGCATTTTCTACAAAG